AAAGAGATGAGATTCAGATGCTTCAGGTAATGGAGAAAAAAAAGAAAGAAAGAAAAAGAAAACGAATAGTAATTCATTGCCTGCACTCCCTGCTTCATAAGTATCAATAAATTATTTAAATGTGCAGGAAATCCAGTAGAATGAAATCAACACGGTTGCTTTTTATCAGCCCCTCCCCTTAGGATGTGTCAGCTTCCAGTTGGTGGTGCTGTTGCATGTGGGCTGCCTTTGTATTTTTGCCCATTTCACATCTTCATGTCTGTGAACCTGTTAGGAATTCCTTCCTGGCCACCTCACAACCTTGATTAACCATCTTTTAAAACCAGTTTAAATGCTCTTTCCTACCTGAAGCCCTTAGCAGCCCCAGCTAGCAGAAATACTGTTAGGATGCTTGTCTCACTGTATGGAAATTACAGTTTGCCTGTCTATCCCCTTCTGGAGCCAGAAGTGTTTTTTCCAGAGTGGGACACTTCCCAGAATCCACTGGAAGCCAGCCCCAAGGGCATATCAGGATGGGACAAGGTACATTCTGGAAAAGCTGCCTTGGTGATTCCAATAGTCCTCCCACCCAGGTGAGACCCACTGCCCAGAAGTGGGGTTCCTTGCTCAGCACGTTGTCTCATCTGTCACCACATTGCAGCATCCAGCAAAGGGCAAGTGCTGGAAAAGGGGCGTGGGAAGAGATTGCCTTCACAAGGCTCACCTGCTCATTGCATTAAGAGTATTTCAGAACAGTTTTTTGGTCCAGAGAGCACGCCCTTGCCTCGGGTGAAAGATTTGGGCATGAGCCCATCACCTACCAGATCACCATGAGACAGCACGTGACCTTGCGGATGGCCGGGGTTCGGAAGAGGTCCAAGATTGAGTTGGAGGTGCGGACGCTTGCAAACTCTCTCTGGATGTAGGAGCTCACCACCTGGGCAAGGAGAGTCTGCTCAAGGGAAGCGAGGGAGCTGGGACCCCACATCCCTGCTGGGAACCCCTTCATCTGTGTGGAGGAGAGCTGGGGTTGAGGTCTTTGGTGAGGTGGCTGGCCCTAATCTCCCTTACATCCAAGGACTGATGGCACTTGAGGGGCTGTTTCCAGAGTGTTGAGAAGCTCCAACATGAGCCCCAACACTCCTGAAGTTCTGCGGTTCTGGAGGGCCCCCCCACCCCATTCCTGGTATAGGCTCGGAGATTGGGTCAGATAAGAGCAGGGGTTCTAAGAAGTTCTGCCACATCGTACTGTGTGTTTCCAGGCAAGTTACCGGACCTGTCCACACTTCAGTTTCCTCATTGGCAAAAACGAGACATGAAATGAGATTATGTACATAAAACTTTTAGCCTAGCACCTGGTGTGGGGCTTGAGAAACGGTGCTTATTGATAATAAACGGTAACTATCTTAAAATAAATGGTATTTATAATGGTACTTTTGTTATTGATTCCCCGATAATTTTACCTCGTGGTTGCCATTTAAATAATTTTAGTTTATTAAAATTTCAACTGGCTGTCAAGGGTAATGAGGTTATTTCCTCATTGCAAAGATGGATAGACTAGTGAGCAAAGCAGTTAAATTATTTATCCAAAATCACACAATCATGCCACACCTAAACAATATATTTCACACACACAACTCTGCCTGTCCTGTTTATTCCCAGCGTCTACGCCTGGATGGCACATGAGCCCTGGTAAGTTGCTTAATCCTAATGTAACAGGCTGGAGACTGTTCCTGCCCTTCCTTCCTCCGAGCCCGCTTACCTCCTCGGTCAGCCTTTCCCCTTCCTCCTTCCTCCCATTCATTGCGGCCACCTTCCGCAGGTTCTGGACAGCTAACTGGGACTTGCCGTGCAGGAGGAGCCAGCGGGATGACTCTGGAAGCCACCTGGGATCGAGAGGAGGAAGAAGAAGAATCTGAGGCTGGGTAGGGCTCATTCTGTTCCCCAAGCGCAATACCCCATTGTCCACCTTCTTTCAGACCCCAGAAAAGGTGAACTGTCCTCCTTCCTGTTTGCAGCATCAGGAAGTCTGGGGGGCTTGCCAGCTTCCCTTTTTTTGCAGCACATCATATGAAGACTCACCGGACAGTATTTAAACACTGCAGAGGACTTGGCCAGGTGGGTGGCCCATGCCTGTAATCCCAGTACTTTGGGATGCTGAGGCGGGTGAATCACCTGAGGTCAGGAGTTCAAGACCAGCCTGGCCAACATAGTGAAACCGCATCTCTACTAAAAAGACAAAAAATACTAGCCAGGCGTGGTGGTGTGTGTCTATAATCCCAGCTACTCAGGAGGCTGAGACAAGAGGATTTCTTGAACCTGGGAGGTGGAGGTTGCAGTGAGCTGAGATTGTGCCACCTCACTCCAGCCTGGGCAACAGAGGGAGACTCCATCCAAAAAAAAAAAAAAAAAAAAGATTACAGAGGACTTAGGACTTCAACAGACCTGTGGGTTGGTTGGTTTGTTTGTTTTTGAGAATGTGTCTTGCTCTGTCACCCAGGCTGGTGTACAATGGCACAATCTCAGCTTACTGCACCTTCCACCCCCGAGTTCAAATGATTCTCCTGCCTTGGCCTCCCAAGTAGCTGGGATTATAGGCGCCTTTCACTACCCTGGTTAATTTTTTTTCTTTTGTATTTTTAGTAGCGACAGGGTTTCACCATATTGGCCAGGCTGGTCTGGAACTCCTGACCTCAAGGGATCTGCCCATCTTGGTCTCCCAAAGTGCTGGGATTACAGGTGTGAGCCACTCTACCTGTCCCAGACCTGGTTTTGAATCTGTTTCTGACCCTAGCTGTGTGGCCTTGAGCAAGTCATGGGCCCTCTCTGGGCTGTGCCTCATTACCCTCTTATAAATGCCCCAGTTCTATTCTTTTTATTTATTTATTATTTATTATTATTTTTTAAAGACAGGGTTTCACCACATTAGTCAGGGTGGTCTTGAACTCCCGACCTCAGGTGATCCGCCCGCCTTGGCCTCCAAAGTGCTTGGATTACATGCGTGAGCCACCACACCTGGCTCCAGTTCTATTCCTATAACTTTATAAGTACTCTAAGTACTTATAAAGTGTTGAAGGATGCAAAGGAGTTGATGAAGGCAAAAGCCCTTGGGATGTTCCAGAGCCCCACATGAATGCAAGGGATGTTACCAGAGTGTCCCAGTGCCATTCGTCAGGACTTGAGAACTTGCAGCCTCCATGGACACCTGCCATCCTTTGTGTCCCTCGTTAGGTCCAGCAAGCCCTGGTCACTGCACACCCCAACCTCTTATAGGGCCACCCCACTCTGTTCAGGACATACCAAGAATAGAGGAAGAAGATCAGGAAAGGAGCCGAGACAGCAAACTGCAGGCACCGCCAGGGGCGAATCAGGTACGCGACCCCAGCCAGGATGAGCTGGCCCAGGGTGAAGGAGTACCCCAGCAAGATGCCCGCCACAGTGCGGCCCCGGGTGGGCATCCACTCCACAACTGAGGAGAAAACAGTCACATGCAGTTGGGTTTGGCTACCCATGTGGTTGTTTGATTCACCACGCCCCCCTTATTATTCTGACAGCTTAAACTCATTCCAGAGACCTGCTGAGATGCAGGCAAAGGTATCCTCACTGCACTCCAGGTAGATTCTAAGTGGATCAAAGAACTCAATAAACAATAAAACTACAAGAATGCCAGAAGAAGTCACGATAGATTATTTTACAATCTTAGGGTAGGGGAAGGCTTTTCCAAGAATGTCCCAAAACCCAGGAGCAATAAAAGGGAAGGTTGGCAAACTTGGAGTTGTAAAAATAAAAAATATCTGCACTGGAATAAAACAAACAAAACACCATAAGCCAAGGCATAACATCAACAAAAAAATAATCGTAACCTAACTAACAGATAAAGGACTAATTTCAGTCTGGGTGAGGTAGCTCACACCTATAATCTCAGCACTTTGGGAGACTGAGGAGGGTGGATCACCTGAGCTCAGGAGTTCCAGACCAGCCTGACCAATGGTGAAACCCTGTCTCTGCTAAAAATACAAAAATTAGCCAGGCATGGTGGCATGAGCCTGTAATCCCAGCTACTTGGGTGGCTGAGGCACAAGAATCACTTGAACCCGAGAGGCAAAGGTTGCAGTGACCTGAAATGGCACCACTACACCCCAGGCTGGGTGACAGAGCTAGATTCTGTCTCAAAAAGAAAAAAAAAAAAAAGAAAGAAAAAGAAAAAAAGAGAAAAAAGACTGACTTCCCTAATACTGAAAGAGTTTTCACAAATCAATAGGAAAACAGCCAACAAGCTAAAAGGAAAATGGGCAAAGGTGCAATATTTTGCTAATTTTTGTAAATAGCAAAACCTGGAAAAACGTAGATGTCCACCCATAAGGGACTGGTTAAGTGATGATGACACCCCCTTACGAGGCAGCCCTAACACATTAATGAGGACACTTCCGCCCAATGGGCAGGAAGCCTGTGCGTCCAGTCCTTCAGCAAACCCTTCTGAATTTAGCCAGAATCTGAGCTCACTCCCTCTGCTGCTGCCACTGTGGCCGGGCTCAGCCTGGTCTCTTGCTCTATGACAGCAGTAGCCCCTTAACCAGCCCCCCTGCTTCTGTCCTGGTGTCACATGGCAACCAGAGAGACCTACTCAGATCTCAAATCCTAAATCAGATCGGGTCTCTCCCTGGTCAAAATCCTCCAGTGGCTCTTGTCTCATTCAGAGGCAAAGCTGCAGTCCTAGAACGCTGGCCACGGGGTCCTGTGGAACCTGCCCTCTCTGACCTCATCTGTTGCCTGCCTCCCAACTCCGCTTCAGCCACAGGGCCCTCCTTGCTCTTCGCCCTGGTCACACTTTCCCCTGCAGGACCTCTGCCTAGTAATTCCCTCTGCCTGCAATGTTCCACTCCCAAAACCTGCAGGTCTCACTCCCTCAAGTCTTTCCAGTTTTGCTCAAAATGACCCCTTTTCGGTGCCGGCTTTCCCAAACCGCACTAATTAAAATTGCAGACCCCTCCCCTCCAACCTGGCCATTCTTTTTGTTTTTGTTGTTGCTTTGTTTTCTTGAGACAGTCTCACTCATTCTGTCACCCAGGCTGGAGCGCAGTGGTGTGATCTTGGCTCACTGCAACCTCCGCCTCCCAGGTTCAAGCGTTTCTCCTGCCTCAGCCTCCTGAGTATCTGAGATTACAGGCGCCTGCCACCACACCCAGCTAGTTTGTGGATTGTAGTAGACACGGGGTTTCACCATGTTGGCCAAGCTGGTCTCGAACTCTTGATCTCAGGTGATCTGCCTGCTCCGGCCTCCCAAAGTGCTGGGATTATAAGCGTGAGACATGGCGCCCGGCCAACCCGGCCATTCTTACCTGCTTTCCAGGCTTCGGTTTTGCTCTGTAGCCCTTACTGTCTTCAAACATGCTACGGGATTTGTGATGTGTGGTGGTGCTATCTCCCCTCACTAGAACATGGGCTCCAAGGAGCAGGGCTTTGCTGTGTTCACCAAAACATCTAGAGCCTCTCCTGCCGCTAGGAGGCCCTCTATCAGGCAGTGGAGCAGTGACAACTTGGTTAATTGAAAAAATCAAGTACAGAACAGTGCGTAAAGGAACAAACAGGAGGGGAGGCACATATATATGTGGGGGAGGGTCACTACATGTGTGTGGTGTGACCCGAGGCAGGGCATGGCCCACGGTGGGAGCTCCAGGGCACTAGATGGAATCTCTACAAACTCATCTTTACAGGCTGAGCTGTCCCAAGACAGTGCCCAGCCTCTCCGGCCTCAGGAGGTATGAAGAGGCTGGGCAGTCTCTGATGGGTGTGTGTGTGTGTGTGTGTGTGTGTGTGTGTGTGTGTGTGTGTAGGTGTTAGAGCCCATTCCAGCATGAGGTGGACCTCGGACATCTGTCTCAAGCCATGGCTGGATGCCCAGCCTCAGAGTGAGCTGTGTAGGCTGGGATTGGCTGAGATCCCGCTGCGTGCTGGGAGAGGGAGGAAGGTCAGGTGTGCTGGCCTGGTGCATCCTGGTTCTTCAGGTCCAAGATTTCTCCCTGACCCCTGATATAAAAGATCCATCCTATCTTTGGACAGCTGATGGTGGCAGCAGTTTCTGTGCCCAGTGGTGTCCCCAGGAGCAAGCTAAGTAGTTAAAGTGAAGCACAGGTAGGTGGCAGGTCTGTATCCAGGTGGGCTTCATACTGTCCTGCAATGCTTTCTCCTAGGACCACCCAGGGGCTGCCCAGAACCAGCCCAGAGGGAGGACTGAGCCTGTCACTTATCACTTGGGGGCACAACACTCCAGGCTGGCATCCAGGAGCCAGGTCTCCACCATGAAGCTGAGGAATCACCAGCCTTCTTAGAGTCACACAATTTCAGGGCTGACTGCGGCCCTGGGGATCATGATGGCTCACTCCCCTTCTGTGTCCCGGTAGCCTCTGTGTCCCCACACTAAGCCTGGCAGACAATAGGTGCTTAGTAAGTGGTTAATGTTGGCTAATTCACAAATAAAACAAACCTAACCCTCTCAGTTTACAGATGAATACTCTGAAGCCCGGACCTGGGAAAGGCCGTGCAGGACTCCCCACCCACAGCTAGCAGGGCCACTACCCGGAGCCCCGGTCTCCCAAGTCCAGAACTCTGCTGGGAGGCTTTGAGTTGAGGTTGCTGGATGAGAATCCCAAGAAAACAACATGAGAAAAATGTCCATGACCCTGGACACTGCCACCCCCCTGCCCCCAACTCTTTCAGGAGCCCCAGCCCTTCCCGGCCTCTCCTCGGCTGGACTCACCCAGGGAGAGGGAGTTGAGGATGATGCCAGAAAAGGTCATGCCCATCAGGAACCGGAAGACGCAGTAGGCACTGAAGGAGCTGAAATACGCTGTGGCGGCCCCCGAAGCTGCCATCTGCAGGTAGGACCAGACCAGGGGCACCTTGCGGCCCAGCCTGAGCCCAGAGAGTGAGCACAGGCCTTAGGGTTTTTGGAGGAGCAGCAGCATCCACCAAGGAGCAAATCAGCAGCCCATGCCTGCCCCTTCCACCTGAGCAGGAGGTTATCGAGGCAGTCAAGGGGAAGATGGGGCGCCCTGTGAAAGCCACTCCTTCAAAACAGAAACTTGAAACTGCTGGGACCTGGGCTTTTGGGTCACAGAGGGAGGGGCATAGTGTAGAAGCAAGCTGGTGAAGAGATTTATTCCAGGCTTGAGGAAAGGCAGGGATTCTGCAAAGCCCCAGAGATGAGTGTGGCAGGTAGGGAGAGGTCACCTGAGCACTGTTCTGGCTGGAGGGAGGCCTCAAACCAGAACTCACAGCAGGTGAGCCCTTGGCCTGTCCTGGTGTGGGAGCAGAAGCCAGGGTTGAGTCTTTTTGTGGAGCAGAGGGTTGCCAGGCCACAGAGGGGCCCAAGGCCAGGATGGCAGGTTTATCCCATTCCGGCCTTGGTACCGCCCTATTTGCAATGAGGGTCCAGGGCCAGAGCGCACAGCCTCAGCTTGGCCAGGAGGGCAGCAGGCCAAGGAAGGGGGCAGCTTTTCTTCTCCACACACCCCACGACCCATTCATTCATTCACTCACTCATTCATTTATGCATTCTTTCATTTACTCATTCATTGTGACACAGTGTTCCTTGATCGTTAATCACCTATAAGTGACAGGCCTGAGTTGAGGGCTGGTGACAAATGAGACGCTCTGGATAAGACACAAGCTCACATGTAGAAAGACCGGATGTGTCATGACAGTGTGATGAGGGCCTGAGGCGTGTGGCACAGGGAGCCGTCTACACTCCAGAATGTGGGGTAGAGTCCGGGAGGGCCCCCAAACCCAAACTGAGAGAAGAAGGGCAGAGGAGAAGGGAGAGGGGAGAGAGTGAAGAGGAGGAAGGGGAAGAGGAGCAGAGAGGGAGGCGTGGGAGCCAACTTCAGAGCCCTGAGCTGGGCGCACGTCACCATCCATCAATGGGGGTCAGTTAGGCCGGGCGCAGTGCTCACACCTGTAATCCCAGCACTTTAGGAGGTAGAGGCAGGAGGATTGCTTGAATCCAGGAGTTTGAGACAAGCCTGGGCAACATAGTGAGATCCCATCTCTACTAAAAAAAAATTATTTTTAAATTAGCTGGGTGTGGTGGTGCATGCCTGTAGTCCCAGCTACTTGGGAGGCTGAAGTGGGAGGATCGTTGGAGCCCAGAAAGTCAAGGCTGAAGTGAGCTATGTTCGTACCACTGCACTCCAGCCTGGGTGACAGAGCGAGACCCCCATCTCTAAAAAATAAGGGGGAGCAAGTTAGGGTTCGTTCTGGCTCATTCATACAGTGGGATGTAATGTGAACACTAGGAGGGCTGGGACCGCTCTTTGTGAAGAATAAGAGAGGCTGCAAAGTGAAGAAAAAGCTGGGTGCAGGACACGTGCGGTGGATGCCAGCACTTGCATAAAAAAGGACGGCCAGGCCTGTAACCCTGGCTATTTGGGAGACAGAGGGAGAACTGCTTGAGCCTAGAAGTGTGAGACCAAGCTGGGCAACATACTGAGACCTCATGTCAAGGCAAAAAGTGGGGGATATAAAGAAGAAAAAAAATACAAAACAGGAAAAGAGAAATGGGGGGATGGAGCATACACACCCACTTTCTTGACTGCATAGAATCATGTCTCCAGTAAGAGACATAGAAGCCAGGCTGCCCTCTGGGAATTACTGCAGGGAGGGGCAGAGGCAGGAAAGGGATGCGCCCGGCAGGCTCTTCTGTGCCTTTTGGGATCTGGAACCACGTGAATGTACTATATGTATTATCTGTTTAAAATGCACGAATCAACTTTCACAAAGAAAAATGAATGCAGAGGCCTGGGCTTTCCTCCCTGCAGTGGGTGGCTGGGGCCCTTATCCCCACGGGCTCACCTGTCTGCCAGGCTGCCAAACACTGCAGCCCCCACCAGCACCCCGGCCATGTAGACGGACTGAGCCAGGTCTCGGAGAGGGCGGGCCTCACACACCAGATCCCACTGCAGGGAAAACAGGGGAGCTTCAGACTGGGCCTCAGCAGCAGCACCCCCATGCACCCAGCCCCCTCTGACCTCCATCACGATGGTGGACGGGAAAACACTGCGGTTATAGACCCAGCCATCCTTGCAGCCCTCTGTGGCTGCTCCCGGGAGAGAGGAGTTGGGGCTCAGCAAGGCCCACTGAGGTTTTGTGAAGCGCCGGCATGGCTCCGGGGCCCCAAGCTGGTCCAGGGGTACTGTGGCCCTCAGCCAGCTCCCGGAGTCGTTGGTGGCTTCAGTGTGGTTGGCGGGGCCCTGGCAGTGGTGGGGGGGCACAGCGGCCGTGAAGTTCTGCAGGAAGTTGTGGCAGGCCAGCAGGCTGCAGGGCAGCAGCAGCAGGGCCGTGTGGAGGAGCTGGAAGCGGCCCACGCCGCCCAGGGCGTCCAGCAGGTCTGTGAAGGCCATGACCATGGGCCTGACCTGAGGCCCAGCCTGCCAGGCTTTATGTAAAGAGGCCGGGGAGGGGCGCTGGGAGGGGAAGGCCAGGCCAGGGGTGAGGACTGCAGACATCCTGTGCACCCTGTGTCCGAGGGCTCGGGTTACACCCCATAGGAGGGTTCAGGTGTCCCCACATCTGCAGGGCTCCCCTCCCCCATGCCTTTTCTCCAGGTCTCTCCATCTCTCACTCAGAGGGCCAAGTCACAGCGCATCACCCAGATCTGCAGGCCCAGCCTCCCCGCTGCCCTTACCAGCAGGACCCCAGCACTGTCACCTTCCCTTTCCTCCAGAGGACACCGAGGCATGTTTGGGAGCCCCGATTCCAGTCTTGGCACATGGAACACAGTCCCTAGGGTCACTAGGCTCCAAATTGCAGCTGGAAACTTCAGTGCCGAGAGTTCAGAATAATGTGGTGCAGCGATTACAGCTGCTTACCCTTCCCCACATCCCGAGAAGGCAGGGACTTGGCTGCACAGGTGACACTTGGGAAAAAGCCCTTTTAAAATGCCCAGTTAGGCTGGGTGCGGTGGCTCATGCCATGCCTGTAATCCCAGCACTTTGGGAGGCTGTGGTGAGCGGATCACCTGAGGTCAGGAGTTCAAAACCAGCCTAGCCAACATGATGAAACTCTATCTCCACTAAAAATATAAAAGTTAGCCAGGTGCGGTGGCAGGCATCTGTAATCCCAGCTACTTGGGAGGCTGAGGCAGACTTGCTTAAACCTGGGAGGCAGAGGTTGCAGTGAGCCAAGACTGCACCACGGCACTCCAGCTTAGGTGACAAGAGGGAAACTCCAACTCAAAAATAAATAATAAATAATAAAAACAAAATGCCCAAATTAGGCAGTCAGGAGGAAGCCCCACCCTGCCCGCCCCCATGTCAGGGACTCTGAGTTTTTGAGAGGTTAGAGCCCCAGGTCATCCAGACCATGGTGTTCCCATCCCCTCACCAAGTAAAACCCAATCCAGACAGCAAGTAAGGGTTTGAGCAAGATGGCTGGGCCCTGCACACCCTCCCTGCCCCCCAGCCCCTCACACACCAGCCCAGGCTCTAGGAAGAGCTGAGCCACTGCCCTCACTGCTGAAGACGCTGGGCCCAACAGGACCTGGACTCCCAGCGAGGAGGTAAGAAGGGCGAAATGCCGGCTCAAGACAGCAGCCTGCCCCATGGGGCGCGCAGGGGCCTCCACCTCCATCTGCCCCAACGCTAGGGGCCCACAGCAGCGGATAGCGGCCCACCCACCCTCCACCACCTCAGCCTCTGCTCTGCATTTCAGCTTTGCCCCACCCCCCGTTCATTCCCCAAACCACTCTTATCTCTGGTAAGAAAATCCCAGATCCCAGAGGGGCTGGAGGGCTTATATAAGTGCAGGTGTCTGGGTCACAGGGGCTCCCCCCAGAAGGACCTGAAGGAGGCTCTGTGCTCTGGGGAGCTCCCTGGGGGGCTGGGTGTGTGCTAAGTCGAGGTTTGGGTTTCATTCAGAGCCTCACCTCACTGGGCAGGTGTGCAGGAAAGGTAGGGGTCAGGCCTCCTGGGTGGGGGAGGGCGTGTAGGATCAGCGGGGTCACGTGGGACCTCAGCTGTGTGGCCCTGTCCCTGCAGCTAGGGCCAGGGCTGGCCTGGGAGGTTGGGCCCTAGTACTCGCCCAGATCCCCAGTACTCCAGCAGGGGTTCAAGCCTCCAGGGTCAAGAGGAAGGAGATGGAGGGGTTGGAGGGGAAGGGCGAGCTGAGGCCATGAGCTGCCCCATGGGCTGGGGCCTGGAGGTGTCTTCCAGGCAGCAGGGTGGGGAGAAACACTTCACAGACAGATGCGGGGCCTTTTCCTTTATTATTTGGGGTTCCTTTGTATGGAACACGGTACCTCCCACTCCAAGCCTAGTGCCTCTGGCACCCCCAAAACCAGTACACTAGATTCTGAAGGGTTCCCTTTAAAATCATCAATATAAAAAAGGAGCAAAGGAGGGAAGGCCGACCGCCCACAGGCTGGACAGCTCCTGGTTGGCAGCAGGGCCAGAGAGGGGCAGAGGGGGCGTTGGCTTCTGCGCAGGAAGACACAGGCGTTCCCAGCCCTGGGGCCTCCCCGAGCCGGGAGGTGGCTCCTTCCACCTAGCCTACAGACTGTGGAGCTAGTGGTTATAGTTTATGGTCTGCAGGCGAGGCAAGGTCAGTGGCGCTGAGCGAGGAGCGGGGACACATCAGGATGCAGAGAAAACCTGGGGCTGTTCCGAGACAGGAACAAGCGAAAGCTGCCTTTCCGGCTTGGCAATGGAGGGCCCGAGCCCATAGCGGGTGCAGACAGGGGCCACCCAGCTCTGCCCAGAGCAGATGAACGACGGCGGCTGAGAGAGGGGACAGGAGGGCGAGGCTGCCTCTCTGCTCCAAGGAAGGCACTTGCAGCTGGCGTGGCCTAGTGTGGCGTGGCAGGAGGCGTGGCTTGGCAGATGAGGAGGGACAGGAGCACGGCGAAGGGGACCGAGCCCCTGCCTCATGCAAACATGGTCAGCTGCAACCACTGCGGGAGAGCAGGCAGGTCAGCCAGGGGCAGCCGGAACAGCTGCTTGGCTTCCTCCCCACCCAAACCCCAGGCCCAACCCCCTCTCCACGGCTCAGGAGCCACCTCAGGGACCTCATGAAGGGGCTACTTTCTTACCTCCTCCACCCCCAGGAAGCCAGACTGCTGCTCCCACAGAGGCCTCCAAGGGCCTGGGCCTGCCCTCCTGCGCCTTTCCCAGAACCAGGCATCCCCACCCCAGCCTTTCAGGACTCAGGTGGCCCAGCCTTTAGGGTTGGCTCTGAGGCCCAGGCTCACTTCCAGGATAGGACAGGAGAACACTGGTCAGATAAAAAAACTCGATCACCTGGAACTCTTCCCCCGCCATGGGCCCAGGGAGATTCCCACCTTAAACAAGTCAAAGGTCACGACTCCATCCAGATCTGTGTCCAGAGTTTTGAAAAATCCTGTGTGTTCAAGAAAAGGTGATGCAGGGCTGAGAACTCAGTGGGACATTCATGCAGGGCCAGGCCTGGCCCCCTTCCTGCCTGGTCCCTCTCTACCTCCCCAAAGTACCCCAAGCTGACACCCCTTGAAGCTGGGAAGCAGCTCTTCCTCCTGCTGAGCCCAGTCGACTCCCTCACCCCCCCCACTCTCCTGGCCCTCAAGCAGGGCCCCTCAACCCCAGACCTGGGCCTCTCTGGCACACGCCCACTGCACTGGCCTGTCTCTGCTACTTCCGCCATCTGTCATTCCCACCAGCTCCTGGCGCACGTGTTCGGGATGGAGCTGGAGGGTGGGAGGCGGCCGGGGACACTCACGGAACATGGTCTCCAGCCGCACCAGGCAGCACACGAAGTTGTCAAAGTCAACCGCCAGGTCAGGCTCTGAATAGCGGGTGATGATGAGCTCGTAAAGCTTCTTGTTGAGCTTGAAGCCTGGTCCGGGAGAGTGAGTGAGGGTCAGGGAGGCGCAGACCCTGCCCATCAGGACGGGGGAGGGGTTGGGTACCCAGGACGGGGCTGGGGCTAGGCAGGGTGCTTAGGGCCTTTTCTTCTCCAGGGGAAGGGGCATGAAGGCCTCCTGGGCAGGGCCAGTAGCTGTGAGGGGCTGGGCAAGTGAGTGCCAGTCTCAGGGCCTGGGTCATGCCAGGGAATCAGGAGCTGGCCAGTGAGGGCTCAGGGGTCTGGCTTAGTTTGTCCTGAATACCCTGGCCTTGTGCTTAAGCGGGCTGGCAAGGTGAGCCCTGCACCTCCCTCACTGGAGGCGCTGCAGCCTGGCTCTGCCCCTTCTGGCTGTGAGGCCTGAGGTCAGTCACTTTCCTTCTCACGGCCTCTCTTTTCACGTGCACAATGGGGCTGGTGAAAGACCCTAGCCTCCTCAGGCTGCAGACAGGAAGGAGGGAAGGAAACCCAGTAATGCACTTCACAGGGAAAAGGAAAAGATGGCTGTTACCACATCACCACCAGGGATAAGGGCCTGGGGCACAGGAGCAGTGGGGCTACCTGTCCCAGGCCCCACACGTGCCATCGGCCTTGGGGTCTCACCTGCCGACTCGATGGCCATCCGCATCTCGTAGGCGCTCATGCTGCCCGATTTGTCCAGGTCAAACTTCCGGAAGATGGACTGGGGTGGGGTGCAGAGGGTGAGGGCCAGGCCAAGTCACCGGGCCCTTCCTGCATGCCCGGCCCACACCTGCCGAAACAGGTGAGTGGGGACAACCTACCAGGTAATTCCGGATGCGGTTCCACAGGATGTTGAACTCCACCAGGCCCAGCTTCCCATTGCCATCACGCTGGGTGTCCGTTAAGAAGGAAATTCCACCACTTAGACCAGGCACGGGAGAGTGGGCAACTGTGCAGAGGGGAGATGGCCGTGGAGTCGGCCAGCCGCCGCAGGGTAGGGTCGGGAGAGGCAGCAAAAGCCATGTGCAGTCAGCCCACAGCCGGGCTTGCCTTGTTCTCTGGGCTGGGGTGCAGTGGAGTGGGCAGGGGAGGGGTCAGAAGAAACAGCACCAGCCTTAGGGTCAGTGGGGACCCAGGTCTTGCTCCACCTTTCACGTGACACAGGCCTGTGCCTCAGTTTCTCCCTCCCAACCAACAGGAAGATGTCCAGGGACAGGGCACTGTGTGTCCACACTCCACATGGCTCCGTCCCATTCTCTGCACTGTCCTGGGACAGTTCTCCCAGCACTGATTCCTCCACCCAAAACCCCACTCAGGAGACAAAAGCAAACGCAAGGATACATCCATGAGGTTCACCATGCTGCGGCACGACTCCAGGCTGAAGCCCTTGGTCCGCAGGTCTTTGTCTGCGAGAAAAACCAATTCCAACATCTCAACCTAGCAAACTTCCTGCCCCTGCCCCTGCTGGGAGCACTGGGTGGGGGGTTGTCAGGGAGGCACAAATCCTGCCCAGTAGGTGCAGTATCTGGCAGAGGAAGTGGGCAGGATTATTATCATCGAGAAGTACAGGGAAAGTATTTTAGCAATCGAGCCAAAGTCCCAAC